AAACGAATCTAAAAATAAAAATAAAATTCCATTTTCGTTTAATAATTGGAATAAACTCACCGGATATATCGATACATAAAACAAATCTAAAAATAAAAATGAAATTGTATTTTCATTTAATTAATTGGTTCAAACTCACCGGGTCTATCGATATATAAAACGGATCTAAAAAGTAAAAGTGAAAATATATTTTAATTCAATTAATTGATTAAAACTCACCGAATTCTTGGGTCGTATTATGATCCAAAAATAAAAATTGGAATAGTATTTTATATTCACGAAATTAAATAAACGCCCTGGGCAGATTGAGGAAATACAGAATTGAAAAAGTATAGATTAGAAAATATTTCATAAAATAATTTAAAACAACTCACCAACCTATTGAGATGAGTAGGTATGTAAAAATAAAAACCATTTCATGCAACATTGAATGAATTGTAGAACTTATCGAGATGAATTCGCGACTCAAATCATAAGAAAAGTTAGCTTTCGGACGAGGTATGAAATGAAGATATCATGTTTCTGCAGTGAAGCAGATTTTCGAGTTGACAATTACTATGGTCTTAGATTGTTGAAATCGAAGAAAGTGACATGGCTACTGCAGATAGCTTTGAGCAATAAAGTGCAGGAATTAATATAGAAGCTTTCGATCAATATAATATGTTTCATCAATATTTTGCTCACGTGAAAATGATTCTATAGAAGAAAATCTTTGCTTTTGAGCGTGTTTGCAGGGAATAGTATCGTTAGTGAAATGTTTTCTACTGATTATAGATACATTATTCGATAGATATGCAATCAGAAAAAAAAGGATCAGCTTGAATAATTATTCTGATGTTTTGTTCGATAGTTGAGTAGCCTGATATCATTCAAATCGAAAGGGCTGAGAAAATAAGCAATTATTCGTTGAATATGTGGTACGAAATATGCTCATTGCATTAACTATTAATAGAAGGAAGTCATAGTTGTTTTCTATGGGTAATATGGAAGTGACTGATTTTGTATTATGCACAGAAGAAATTTTTAGAGAACAAAATAGTAATTTCATTTGTAATAGATAATCAGGCATCAGTGTTTCATTGATACACAGGAGTTGTGCTCTTAACTTATAATTGAAAACAATCCTTGTATCATCATTTTACTTCAGAGGTATAGTTGTTTATTAAAAAAGAAAAATATAAAGAAAAATTAAGACAAGGAAAATGTGGAAAAGTTAAAAATTAGCTAGTGGCTTCTCCTGTTTGTTTAGAGAACATTAGTAAGATTCATAATATCGACTATTTGTAAATAAAAAGAAAGAAATTCTATTAAAAAAAAAACATGTGGTTTCTTTTTTTTCTGCAAAAAATAATTGAAACAAAGAAAGTTTATCATCGGAAGAATAAATGGAGAAGCAAATCGAAAAGTTTTTTTAACCCTTTGGCTCCCGGCTTTTTTTTGCGAAAATCAAAGTTTGTAAAAGTAACGTTTGAATGTGATTTTTATTTTTTCACAAAGAAACTACATTCCTGTTTTAAAAAAAACGCTAATAGTCCATCTTTGTATGATAGTTTTTGAAGCAATCAACAATACATAGAGGTACATTACAGTCAGGATACATATATTGTGTATCGCGTCGAATATCATGAGAAGAGCAAACTGCGCATCTTCGTCGAGGTTTTTCTGCTTGTTGTGATGTTTGTGGGATCAACGATGGAAAATGTCGAGCAGTCAAACGGAGAGGAGATGGTCTTATTGATGGTCTTCCAATGGTAGTCGGCCTTTGTGATCCGAACTTTGTCAAAAGTTCTCTGATGATGTCGAGCCGAAAATCAGATAAGTGGAGCGAAATATTATTCTGCATTTTATAAATTACAAATACATTATATATTGCCATATCTAACAAATGGAAAAAAAGTTTCTTGTACCATTTTATTGATTTTCTTATACATTCGGAAAATGAAATTTGCATATCGACATGATCAACGGCACCCATGTTTTTAGTATATTCAAGAATACAGACAGGTTTGCGAATCACTTCTCCAGTTTGCCTGTCTATTTTGTTTGTATTCGTATATGATGGTGAATGAATTGTTGAAAGCATATGAACTTCTCTTTTGTCCTTCCATTTTAGTGCAAGTAAAACATTTGTATGAGAATATTGACTTTCGCCTCTTTTCACTTTAGTTGCTAGAGATGGTAATCCTTGTCTATTTTTACGAACAGTGCCACATGCACCAGTTTTATTTCGATGTAAGAGCTCAAAAAGTGCTGGGCTTGTGTACCAATTGTCGACGTATAAATGGTGCCCTTGATTCAAATAATGTTGCATTAGTTTCATTACAATTGATCCACTCAATCCAAGTCCAGATGTAATTTGATACTCTGTATTTGCTCCTGTGTAAATGATGAAGTCGAGGATAAATTTAGTTTCACAATCGACGAGCTCAAATAGTTTGATTCCAAATCGATGATGTTCAGATGGAATATATTGTTTGAATCCAACTCTTCCTTTCCATAGCATGAGACTTTCATCAATGCAGAGATTTTGTGTTGGATTGATACAATTTGAAAAATTCTCTTTGAATTGATCTATGATTGGTTTTATCTTCTCTAGACGGTTGTTGCCAGAAATCTCATCATTATTGGCAAAGTGCAAGTAGTGTAGAATGTCTAGGTATCGATTCCTTGTAAAATACTGACCAAAAATAGGTGTAGACAATAAAGGATCAGTGCTCCAATAGTCATGAATCGTATTTTTGCTGATAATCCCAGTAAGCATTGTAATCGCAAGAAATGTATATATTTCTACTGAGGTTACATCTTGCCAGTCAGACATGTGCTGTCGTTCATCCACTGGATTCTGAGAATAGTAGCGATTTGTTTCGTTGACTATACGCTGCATCATATTGTCATCAAAAAAAAGTTGAAAATAATCAAATGGTGTTTTTCCAAGCAATAGAGTCGTATCTTTTACGCCTGGTTTACCGCTGAACTCGAATATCATTGGTATAAATGTTCCGCATTGCCATTTACGTTCAGCTGCATCTTCTTCACCACTAGAGTCAATAGATACAGAACTAAAATTTGATACGAGTTCATCTTCTGATGATAAGTCCGACTGAGAATCATTCGTAATTTCGTTAATTTCATTCTCAGCCAAACGTCGTTTTTTTGAAGCGGCCATGTTGAAAATGTGTGAGATTGTTGTTGAGCTGGATAGCTATTATCCAACAAAGAATGTTTTCTTTATTCGTTCTTTCTCTTATCTTTTGTTATTCAAACGGCATATATATATATATATACGATGGGTTAGAAACTGGAAGAGTTTACTAGATTTTGTAGAAGGGATAGAACTGACTAGAATTTTACACAAAGATGACATATTAGAAAGTTTTAGAGAGAATGAAATATAATAGATACAAAGAAAAGAACGAGAAAAATTATTATACTAGAACACGCTAGAATGACTGAAAATATGGATAAAATGTACGTCAGTGAAAATATCAACAGAAAGAAAAGAAAGAAAAAATATATCAGTATGATACCATGTAACTAACGATAAGAACCTTTTCTAAACGGTTAAAAAATATGCTACTGCCACTTTTATTCAATAAATATATTTGAACGCATATATGCGTTCCCGGGCGCCAAAGGGTTAATTTAGCTTTACAATGGATTTTGTTTCATCATCGTTTACGGCGAGTAGCTCGTGCAAGTTTTTTAGTTGGTGGATAATTTTCTGTAAGTGATTGTTCAGATTCATATATTTGATTTGCTTTTCTCTTTGATGGACTTTGTTGATCAGGTGAAATTGGTGAAAATTGCAACACGTGAATCTGATCAGATATTTGTTTACTATTATTTTATTCATGACTATTTGTTAAAACATTATTATCATTTGTAGTATCACCGTCAACTAATAATTCATTATTTTCTATTCGTTCAGATCGAGAAACAGATGTTAGTATGGGTTTATCTTGAACTTCGATATTGTATTCTTTACAAAATCGACGAATAATATTTGATTGTTGATATTTATCATTCATCAAATAAACGTATAAAAACCTTGAAGCAGTACGATGAGGATGAAACTTGAGATTCATCAAACAATATAGACCAATAAGTACAGCAATACCTTCTTCTATTGAATTTGATGAGCATACATAACACCAATCAAGATAGATTTTTATATTGTCATCTTCAACTACGATCGATAGTTGTGGAGACGCCAGTTTCTGTAAAAATGGGTGTAAGAATCAGAATGAAAGACACTCAATAGGAATAAATTAAATAAGACTAAATATCTTTTTTTCTCGCTAATGCTTTATTTTGAAAGCGTATCTGAATTAAGCTTCAGTAAATAAGATCTTCACAAATAATACATTTTATGAATAGAAATTTATAATTATCCTATCATTAGAAGAATGGATGACTAACTGAACAACATTTTGACTTGATTAACTTCTACTTATGTCGATGAGTTTTAGATAAAAAGCATCGATCTGTCTTAACAAATTAAATAACTAAAGAAAGGGATGAAATCTAACATTATTGTTTTCTTTTTGTTTGGTATACAACAGAGACATTAGTATATGTGGCTTACTTCAGGATAGAAATAGATATAATGTTTCCAAGAATCATTCAATAATTCACATAATACCTTTAAACAGCGAACACATGAACTATCTAGAAAAAAAAGTTAACGATAACAACGATGTTAATTATAAAATACCGGTTGGAAATTTAGTTATAGTACAGATTTTATCAGTAAGTGTATCAAGTTTTTCTTGAACCGAATGGCTTCAATCAATACCTGTTAACATTTTAACATCTGCTAAAATCTAAAAAAAAGCATCACATGATTGAAGTGTCTTAATTTACTACTACCATAGATGGATTTGAGTAAGCTGGAAATTGTTTTAAAATATCTTCAATTGTGTTTTGTTTTATAAAATTTTTTCGATATTCATATGTTTCAAACTATAATCGTTCAAAATGTGGATCATCAAATGAACTATTTTGAAAATCTTTCCTGATTATTTTAGCTTTTTTTTCTGATAATTCTATATCAGGAGGTGAATCTTGCACAACTGAAATCTAAGAAAATAAAATATGCATGACTTTATTATTCTTTAATTATTATTTACTTGCTTAAGGTGGTTTCTCTCTGATATCTGTGTTATTGGAATCTGCTTGATTTTTCTTCCGGATTTTTCTTTCGAATATCGAAGTTTCATTTCGATGACTTTATCATCACTATAATTTTACCTTTCTCTTTTATATTTCGAGATTAAAGAATCACGCCAAGAATTCTAGGATAAAGAAAAAGTCATTTAGATGTGAACATACTGTACCTTTACTTACTGCTGTTTTTTCATCATATTCAATACTTAAATGCTTCAATATGCCGTTTACAACGGTGGCATATTGTGTTCTTGTTGGATATCTATCAAGAGAAATAAAGTTATACATTAATTTTGTAATTAAAATATAAAGTATTTAAATAAACTACTATGATTTGAATTAACCTTGCTATCTCATTTATATTGTTTTAATCGTACGTATAGTCAATTCTTTTTCTAGGTCTCATATAAAATTCCTTTTATTTATCTTTGGCAACTTTCTCAATTATCAAGGAAAAGTGCTTAAAACATGGTCGAAACTAATGATACCTACAGTAAGTTATAACTCGTTTTCAAATCATAAAAAACAGCATCAATTACAATTGACCTGAAGTTGCATAGTTTTTCGAATTTCTCTATTTGCTTGGATTGAATCGCGTTCATTACCGCATTAGGTAAACTTGGTAACACATAAGGATCTGGAAATGATTTTTCATCGTGTAATTTTTCTATTGAAATTGTTGTTGTGATAACTGACGAATCTACTATAATATCAATTGGTGCATTGTTATCTTCATGTATATCCTGATGAGTTTCATCAATAATTAACGGTATTGTATCATTTGGCGTTGGTGGTGTAGACTTCTGTAGGGGTGTGAATTTATTGTTATTGTTATTAATAACAATAACAAAAAAGTTATTGTTATTGATAACAATAACTTTTTTGTTATTTGTTATCAATAACAATAACTTTTTTTTGTTATTTGTTATTAATAACAAAAAAATAACAAATAACTTTTTTTTCTGAAAAACCTCTAACTAGGAGTGGGAAGTTACTTTTACGTTCCCAGCTAACCCCTAAGCCTTAGGTCCTCAACTCCTACTATTGGGGGGTACCCTTGGGTCCTCAAGTCTTACTATTGGGGGGTATCCTTGGGTTCTCAAGTCCTACTATTGGGGGGTACCTTTAGGTCCTCAAGTTCTATTATTGGGAGGTACCCTTGAGTCCTCAAGTCCTACTATTGGAGGTACCCGTAGGTCCTCAAATCCTACTATTGAAGGATACTCTTGGGTTCTCACCTCCGACTATTAGGGGACATCTTTGGGTCCTCAATACCTACTATTGGGGAGTACCCTTGGGTCCTCAAGTCCTACTATTGGAGGTACTCTTAGATCCTCAAGTTCTACTATTGGGAGTACCCGTGAATCTTCAGATGCTTTCACAAGGACATCTTTGAGTTCTGTAGTCCTGTTGTTTTGGGCGCTAGATGTCCGACATTGCCGTAACTGTTACTAGGTTGTTAGTGGCAGCGTATTTATTCGTTGACGATTAACAGTATAGGCCGGTATTTTTTTGCTAGTTGATAAATATACCCCCCCCCCCCCCACACACACACACAATAGAAGCTCAGGGAGGGGGGGTGCCTGTGTGAATCTGGCACGGCTATAACAGTGGATAATGCCAGGGTGGCCGGTTTCGGCATCGGTAGTGATAAGAAGCAACTCATCGGATTACAGGAAGATCTCCACTGGCTATCGTATAAAGTTTCGGCAGTCTTTAATCCTGTTGCATTCTGCGTTCCCAATTCTTTTTAAGCGCAATGTTATAGAAGAACTCGGATTAGGGAAGGTGCTATCCGATGAAGTAGCCGCAACTTTTCCAGGACTTTCGGATTAAGAGCATTGTTATTGGATAGATTTTCTTTGCACTAGCAACTGTGCATGAGAACGCGTTGTCAGATTAGTCTGTAGGTGGTTACGAGTAAGCACAGTTCTACATCTTCATTTTTCATGGTTGGGACAGGTGTACTCAGAAACTAATTATCAGACAACA